GCGGCATTCCTGCGTTCTCAGAGTGGTGGCATCGCGATGGGGCACGAAACGACTCGCGGGGACCAGGGGAAGGGGTGTAGACTAGTTGCGGGCAAACGAACCGAGGAGGGAGTGTTCCCGCGGAGGGTGGAAAGGTACAGGGGGGAAAAAAATCATTCTCGATCCCAACATTGCCAACGACGGACAAAAAATAGCCTATTATATCCGTGCTTATCCGCGGAAGCTCTTTCTCTCTCGATTGATCGCCTTCTTTTTTGCCATCTTACGTTCGTGGATCGAACGAGCTTCGGTTTAAATATAACGCTGCTTTGTTTGTTTTCGTGTCGAGACTCAATGCCAAGAGGTAAACGGCTGTTGCTATTGTACCGCGGTTACTTTCGCTGACGTAACGCGATCTTTACGAAAGACTTTAACGACTGGACACCCGGAGAACAAGTTTTGCTTAATTTTATCATAATGTTCCACTTTCTTTACGAGAATAATTAATTAATTGCGCGGTGTCAACGTATCGGAAGATCCAAATGTACTTACCTTCGATGCCACTGCTCGCTCCTGAAACATAACATAAATTAGATTCGATATGTATCGAAGAATTAACTGACAGAAACAAAATTTTATATAACAGTAAATGCAATGTTAAATCAACAATAGTAAGTCGTTTAATCTTTTTCGGAAGAACAAGACTACAGAAATAAATTTTTGTTCGCTTGTCATTTGTTGCGTATTTATTATTCAATGTCATTTTATTGCAAATAAAAGATATCGCATCCTATAAACATCATCTCTTTTCACGTATTTTAAATATTTTATTAGTAGGTACTATTTTAATTGATCTGCTAACGAATGGAATGATCTTATTAGTTCTTGTACTTCCTCGACATAATTTTCATCGCAAGCTCTAATTCCAATTGCAGCTAATTGATTATTGCGAGCAAATAAGCACCATTAGCGAAATTATTTATAGGGACTTTGATAATTCACTGTTACAACTCGATGCAAAATATTGCATGCCACAGGGTGAACAGAAATGAAAGATCAATTATTCTATCTATTTTATTGCTGCATCTAATCCATTAGAAGGTTTAGAACTGCATAAACTAAATTGATAATCTTGCAATTTCTGAATATTTTCTTTAAGTCTCTGTACCTATATTATAATTACCTATACCTATCGATGCTCATTACCGATCTAACGCTGTTATTTTTTACAAATACAAAAAACAACGTCCGTTGCTGTCTCGAGGTCCAGAAACATTAACGACGACTGTACACGGAAATGCATATTCATGGTTTTCGATTAAAATAAAATTTGCAATTCATTCGAAAGTTCGATTACAACTTATCCCGATCCTAGCCTTAAATTCCACGTTGCCAGGGCGGATACTCGAGAAATTGGGAAAGAAAACAAGGGATGAGCAGGCGTGGTCTCTCAGGTATCTCAGACAAGAATATGGAAGATGTGTGGCACTTCTAAACCTAATCTATGAAGATGAATGTCCTAGCTAGTGGGAGGACTAGTGGCGAAGAGTCTGGCAGAGTTGGGACGCGCATCGAAACCGTTCGATCCTTTAAGACACCGCCTATTTTGATGATATCTAGCACGGCAACTGGACGTACAAAAGGAAGAATACCACACCGCCTTTGTTGCCGAGATGGGGTTCGATAGATCGAACGATACAGTAAACGAGCTAAACAACAACGGCTGCTATACCCCTTTCTATACTTTCAGGAATTTAAGAGATTAGGAACCGTATGATCTTTCTACGTACTATTTTATATTTTTCCGTTGCATTTCATCAATTTAACGATTTCGATACTTTGTAATTCAAACAAGCTCAATGTTCATTTTCGTTAACCTTTTTTACAAGATGTTTTTATCAGTAGATCTATGTATAATTACAAAAGTACATTTAAAGAATGTTGTGTTGGTGTTTATGCGGGCGATCTGAATAAAATTCATATGCATAAACATCGTTGTAAATATTTGTAATATTATGATAGATAACATATCAGCTTAATCTTTGTTTATTTTATTTACCAGGGTATATATTAACGAATATTAATTATCAGTAGAAATTCATTTATAAACGTCATACACAGTTCCTATCTTAACAAACAAAATAATTGCTTCAAAAGATTTACAACTTTTAGAGATCCCATATCTGTGGAATGAATAATAAAATTGAAACTTCCATAACCTTATATAGTTTTATAATAATTACTACATCGAAAGAAAAGTACAATTAACTTGTAGCGGTTCCTGACCCGAACACTTTAGGCTCCCCGACATCGAGTCTCGCAACGAATGACCGGCTACCGACGATTCGACGATGCCATAATTACGTAAACATACGATCAGACCCGCGACAAAAGCGTCGTCAGCGTTGTACCGAAATTCATCGAGGACCCCAGGTCCAATTATACGAATGATGCCCCCGAAGAAAAGACAAGAGGTCCCCGCGACGAAAATTATGCCCGGTCGACGGGCATCGCAGTTGTAAATTGCAATCGTGACACGGTCAGCTAGACGAACAAAGACACAAAACGTGTACTGCCTACGTGGAAAGATGTTTCGATAAAAAGGTGGTCCGGTTCTTCTGGAACCTCGAACGTGCCACGGAATTCTCCAGGCGAGATTCCCGTTCAACGGTCGGCTCCCAGAAAATCGTGAAGAGGGAAGGGAAGAGAAATTGGGCGGTGGTCCTGCTGGGGTGCACCGGGGGTGACGCCCTGGAGATCGGGACAGAGGCACCTAGCGCGCCATCTTCGCGAAGATTAAGGGAATTCCCGAACCGTGTGGTCTGGTCATACCGGCATATCCTCCGTACCAGATCCTGCGACATAACCGTCGTTTAATCGGTTAATGTTACTCGAATCACGCAGTAATTTGCAACGTTGTTGCGAATCGATAAGCCGCCGTGATTTACGAAGAACGAGAAGGATGCGAATTAATTTCTCGAAACTCGTAAGATAGTCGGCGCTGATGGCGGGAAACCAATATCCTTTGTGTCTTTAAGCTTATACATTTAATAATAAATTTTATTCGCGGCAAGTTACGGCCTATTACCCGTCGTTTCGAATTTGGTAATAAATTACGTCTCGAGTTGCGAATTGACTGTTGACTACCATTCGCTGTAAATCAAACTGGGTTCGCTGGAACCTTAACAACCGGTTGCAAATTAATCTGGCCGCGGGAAATAATGCGAAGATTGTTGCAAACAAATAAACGATATCGGCTGACGTTTATTACGATCCATATTCGCTCGAACGGAATATTACGCGCAATTATATATTACGGAATACATTACAGATAATAACTATGTATAAAATCCTTTACCTCGATTATGCAAATACCCCATAACGTGTCACTTTTTTTACGGTGTTTATCTAATCGTTCGTGTGCAACTTACGCGACGTTTAATTGTCGTGTAAGTGCCGCTAATTAAACGGACAATTAGACTGCTTAACGACGGATCACGCGTCAAGGTCACGGTCCGTTTTGTACGCCACTGTTTTACCGACTCGTTTTCGTCTATCGCGAAATCCGTTTTACCTAGCGAGATATTCGCCGACTTCGTGGGTATTTTACCTACATTACCTTTTTTCGAACATTCCGTATATGGGGAAACGGAAAACTGTGCAAGATATTTAGGATCAGAGGAAAATGTACGAGATAGGGTGCAAATATGAGACACGCATCTGGCTGCGTTATTTACAGAAATATATTTCTAAATTTCTAGATCCTATATCTCTAGATTTCTGCATCTGTATATTCTTGGATTCACGTACCCCTAGATACTTACACCCTTAGATACATGTGTTCCCCACATACCACATAATTATTTATCTAGATTCACTAAATCTTTTCTTATTACTGTAGATCCTTAGACTCCTGAAGATTTGACTTCTACGTCCCGAAACTCCTACATCTCCAAAAAAAATATCTTTGTTCGCAAATCATCAAAATTTGAAAACTGAACTATCTAAATCTTCGAAACTCTAAACGTAAAAACACGAAAATTATATATTTCTGCCTTTTGCTTGATCCATAGATGACTTAGAAACCCTAAAATTTCCAGCACAAATTTTTCTTCCCTTTTCCCGCAGCAAAAATGGCGGTTTTTCTACATTTTTTCCGGTCAGCGCTGTAAAATCACGGAAACGCGTTCGATGCCCTGGAACTTGATTGCATATCGCGGTGAATTCTTGGCGAGTTTCGCGAGAAAAATAAACAAAGGATCGCGTGAAGGTATTTGCAACGAAGCGGCGCTTATTAAAAATGAAAGGTGAACATCATGCACCGCGTATAATAAAATGTTCGTGATACTGAAACTATGTATTCGGAGATCTCGGCTCTTCATAGAGTATGCACATACATTTTATGTTTAATGTGCAACATTAGGTATGCGTTTCGCACATGTTTTTTATTCAAACGACGTTCGGTCTCTTATCAATTATTATCTTAACGAAGCCTATTCTGGAATGAGCGAACTTGTAAAACTGTGTGGACGTAACCATCGAGATCGTGAGTTTATGCTGTGATATCAATGATATAAATGTTCTTAACATTATTATACTAATGAAAAGGGAAAAGTAATGCGCGATCACTAAACTGATAAGAAATAAATTTTATCGGCTGTTATTATAATATATTTCTTTACCTGTTTGGTATGTTAGTAGGTTTTGAAATTTATGTGTTTTAATACCATGACGTATTTTTCATTTTTATAATT